CGACTTTGTTCCAGTTTTGAATTTTGGCCCACTGTGTATTTGAGTTTGACACCCCTGTTCTAGACAAAGCTGTCACTGCCTTCTAAACTACGACTGCAATATGCTAGTGACCAAAGCAACCAGCAACTTTTAACAACTGGAATAAACAGTAGATGCACTTGGTCTTATACAGTCCTGTTCTACTCTAATTGAGCACTCATGCCAATGAACGAATTGCAGAGCATAGTGGTGTTCAGTATCATGCCCAAGGATACTGTGGCATGCAGAGATTGAACCACCAACCTTCCAGTTACTAGATGACCTTCCTGAGCCCAATGCAGTCTCATGACCAGTGGTTGCCAGATGATTGCAGACCAGTCGTACCTGTGCAACTGGATCCTGATCCACTTTATCCAACATTGCCACTACACATGACTGCAAAACTTCAATAGGTAGCTCAGCAGTAGTAACGTTCCTTCTTTCTTTTTCTCTCATCTATATCATTTGGCTAAGAATTACACTTTGGATCTCTGCGTTTAAATAAATGAATGGCCTGGTCTTCACAATTCACAAAAAATCCCAACAAGCGAGGCCGCGAAAGGTGAACTGCAATATAGTGAGGGAACACTGTACCCTGTGTGTACCCACTTAAATAGACGCAGTAGGCTATTATTAAAATCATTAACTTCTACAGTTACAAAGCCCATCACATCAAAAAATTGGAAACCTGGCACACTCCCAGTATACCATAAGAAAAATGAGCTTAACCAACTAAAATTTCTGGTTCCAGCTAGCAGTGAAAGCATTCAAAGCATTTATTTTTAGATGTTTACAGTCAGTCTAAGGCAACTTGATGAGTGTGCGAACGACCAATTCAAACCACGACCAACCAAGTTGCAGCTCTACAGTTTCTATCATTTACTCCTGAGATGGGTAAAAAAAAAAACAAACAAAGAATACCAAAGAAGTGTGCGTACTTTAATCCTATTTTCCCTGCTTAGAAAGAAATTTGTGCTCTTACCTGCTGTAATGTCATCATCAGTGACATCCATTTCCTCCTCAGGAGCCTTGGTTTCTACTGGCTGAGCCTCTGGTGGCGGCAGGGCTGGAGGGGGAGTGTCGGTGGTTGTTCCAGCTGAGGAGAAAGAGACAAAACAGTTCACTGCAGAGTCCGTCCAACGAGCACAACCCAGGTTACTATTATAGATATAATTTACACATCTCCCCTAAACGCATCATAGCAATTATAAAGTTACTGATTCGAAAAGAGAGCCACTGTAAGAATGAACTCACTGAATCTGTGTGCATTATTATTTAGTAACTAAAATCAATTTAAGTGAGATTTAGCACATTAAAACTACTGTGCCCCTACCCACTTCATTACAGCGAGGCATTAGAAACTATTCTGATAGATTTAGACAGCAATACTTAACTTGTGTTAGATTAAGGCACTAAAACATATTCTATTTGATTTAAGCAATAAAGAGAACATAGATAGATTTACGCACTAAAAAATAAGCCATTAGATTTTTATGTTTATTTGTTTCAGGGACCAAAGTACATTAATCACATAAAAGGAAACAATGTTAATTTAGCTATCAGCTAGCCTCCATCTGCAGTTACTGGGCAGGTAAAACGAACAAACAAACAAACAAACATGCAGTTCGTTAATTTAACCATTAAAAACTACCCCACTGGATTCAGAAAAAAAATGTTTCTATTAAATTTCGGCAGTAAAAAGTACCCCAGTAGAATGTAGTTTACTGCTCAAATCTTTTAGATTAAGCCAATAAGATAAATTTGTCAATAAAATTTACTGTGACAGATTTAAGTAATAAAAACTACTCTGATAGATTTACACAGAAAAACTATGCAATTACTTTAACACAGTAAAAACTACGCCGATAGATTTAAGCAGTAAACCAAACCCTATTAGATGTAGTCAATAATAACGACACCACTAGATTTAATCAATATAAACTACTTTGACAGAAAGTTGATGGTTTGGTAAAAATAAAACAACGCACACACTGCAGATAAGCAACAAACCAGTTGATTTAAGTTAGTTTCACGTCTGTGAACGTGACCAAACAGGTTATTCGTGACCATTTCACATTGTGCCATGAGATCAGGCTCACTGATGTCACCGACCATCAGCGTAATGGTTTGAATGTCTGTATGTCAGGATGCTCTCCACTGCGAGTTTCTGTTCTGGTCCTCATTATTGTTATTATCAGGTTAACTGCTCTGGTTATGCAGCAAATAAAGGCTTATTGGACGTCCTCGTATAAGCAGAATGAATAGAAACACACGGACAGGGACACGCTTTTATTTAGTGTTTTCATTTAGCTCTTATCTCTCTGTTGGCAATTAAGAGTGGCTTTTCATTAGCGGCCGGCACTAATGAATGACACTGTGCTAATGAATGAAGCAGCTTAAGGTAACAGAGTCGGCACAGGGCTAATCTCTGGGAAAACAGCCTGCTTAATGAATTATAGAGACGCAACCACAAAACGCTTATCAAAAACGAAGAAAGCAAAAACAAAGAAATATATTCCTCTTCTTTTTTTTAAGAAAAAAATGTAATTAACAAAAAAAGAAAAAGTTAAATGGCACAGTTTCATAAGGCTTCTTCAATACACTAATAAAATTAACTGTAATTACACTGTGTGTAATTACATTGATTAATCCAGGTTAACATGTGCTTCATGTTTCAATTAACCTGCTCACACACACAGCTGACAGCTCGACATAATGACTTCGTATCACACACCCACACACACACACGGTGACAGAAGGCCAATACACAGCCCGGCAGTTGATTACCTGTCTCTGGTATTAAAGTGATAAAAACTTAATTGGATTTAATTAAAACATAACTGATGTTTTACTGTGAATGAACAAAAGGCCTGCGGAGAGCGAAATAAAACAAGAACAACAAAAAAAACAGACAAAAAAAAAAAAAACAAAACAAAAAAACAACCCTCGCTTCAGTTTCTATTTGCATGTTTCCCTCTCTGAGCAGGCGGTTTCACGCCACAGATAATGGTGGTTACATCCATCTTTTATATACAGTCTGTGACCCTCGAGGCTGCTGCTTGGCCTGAAGGTGGCCCAGTTCTCGTGTTCTGCATCTCCAGCACACACATCGTGCACACCAGCTGGGCTATAACCTCCAACTTAACTGTCCTGGTTGGAAGAATGACAATGAGAGATACAAGAGCTGAGGGAGAAGAAGAAAGAGGAGGAGAGGGAAGTGGAGGAGGGGTGGCGAAGGAGTGGAGGAAAAGGAGGGGAGAAGAAGGAGGGGAGGAGAAGGAGGGGAGGAGAAGGAGGCGTTCTGCCCTGCTCCAAGGTCAAGCTTGTCATGTCAGCCATGACACATTGCTCCCAGCATGCCTTGTTAACCTCCAGGACCTCCTCCTCCTTGTCCTCCTTCTCTTCGTTTCTTCTGACTGCTGCTCCCTGTATTCGTGTTTGAGACCCACACTTCCTGTTCTTCAAGGCACAGCAGGGCCTCCTGTTTCCCAACCTCTACTGCTCTTTCACTATAGTTTTAAATCATTTTGAGGAGAGATTCATCTAAAGGAGGACTCACATAAGGATGACTGGAATATTTTTAGTTCAGATCTGTCTTATATAAGATGATGCAAGGGAGTTTCATCTTCAGCCTCTATTGTTGTACTGTAGTCCCGATATTTTAACTTTGCACTACAATGTTTCTGCTTGCTTGATTCTGTGTTTTAGACATAAGAAGAAAAAGAAGAGAGGAAAAAAGGTTTATGAAGAGATGAAGAGAAATGGGATGGATGATTGAGGCACTAAAACCTACTCCAGTAAATTTAGGAACTACTATGTCAGATTTAGTCGATAAAGACTACTCCGTAGACTTAGGAAGTAAAAACTACTCAATTAGACTTAGGAAGTAAAGAGTAATATGTTAGATTTAGGAAGTAAAGACTCCTTTAGATTATGGGACTAAAAACCACTCACTACTCACTAAATCTAACCAAGCTGCTACTTGGTTAGATTTAGGCAATATTACTGACCATCTTTAGGGACTAAGAATTAGTGAATTACATGTAAGAGACGATCATGATTTTGGTTAAATTTTTAGACACTTTCATGCTCTTGAACATGAAGAAACAGGGTTTTCAGTGTGACTATTTTACATTTACAGAAAAGCTGGGAAAAATGTGTAGGAAAGGATGAAGGGAAAAAGGGAAGACGCAAGAAAGAGGGGGGAGAAGGAGACTTTGAACAGCAGGTTGATTGGAGTTTTAAAAAAAAAGTAACAATCTGGATGTTCGAGGTAGACTGAGGAGCAACAACGGAGAAGAGCAAGAGAGAAAAGGGGGAAACGGAGTGCTCTTCAGTGATCAAAGAAACAGCTGCTTCACATATCCACCATTTGACCCTGAAAATTGCATGTGATCATGCGACAAGGAACAAAGCTCAGGGACTTTGGTTAATGAAGTGTGTGTGAATATGAGAGCTAAGTGTGTGTGTGTGTGGTCCCTCAGTACCCTGCCTCACAGCTCCTGTAGCTATGAAAGACCTCTTTTCAGTTTTGTTTGTTTGTTTTAATTGTCAACAGCAGCTTTGCCAGTCATGGCTTTCCGGATATGACCAGACCTCCCGTCTGCAGGTAAACAGCTCCATGCAGCCACTTTCTGATGATAAAACTACTTTCCCAAAACAATGTGCGGCTCCACACCATCACAGCAGTGATGATGGAGACTCTGTGGACAGTTAATTTCTTCCTCTGAGTGGAGGTTAACAGCCCCTGTTTTCTCCGTGTTAAAGCCTTTTAAACACTTCCAGGAGAGCTGAAAGGTCAGGCACGGCTGCTGCTGTTTGTGTGTGTGTGTGTGTTGTCAAGTTGGCTCCCTGCTGCGACGGAGGGACTCGGCTCAGTGACATTTCCTCTGCACTTAAGCCTAACAGATAAATACAGGCGACTCTCTACCACACTGGTCAGATAGCACAGGTCTCACTAAAGGTCTCATCCCACCCTCGTGCACTCTGACAGTTTGGTCAGAAACATACACATGAGTAACCTACTGAGGTAATTTCCATGGTAGGGGTGGTCATAGCCATCCAAATAGCAACAACATGGATAGTAGCTGATATTGTCAGCTACTATCGTGTCCTCTCGTTTCCAAAATAGTTAGATTTTTGTCTCTAGGACAAACGGTAAATGACTTATGGTAATTGATGAAAAACTCTCAGACCCAAATTTCTGAGATGTGTTCTGCTGAAGGTGCTGGTCAGCATCTTTACATCTTTACTAACAGTAGAAAATCATTTAATCACTTAATCAATGGGTTTTGTGCAGAGAAAAAAGTTTGGGTTTTAAGTTGCGGTAATTACTGTAAACCAAAGACTGATCCAAGAAGAGCCTCAGGGTTCAGAGGACGTCTCCAGAGGATTCAAACACATCTCCGACTGTTCCCTGGAGGTCCAGGATTTCCAGGACCAGCAGGAGTCATCTTTCTGCCTTTTCCAGTCCTGCTATGCAGCACACAGCTCAAATTCAATGACCCTTTAACCTCCTTTTCCACCCGCCTCCATTCTCCCTCATCCCTGGAGGTCACCAGTCCATCACTCCCCTCCACATAGGCACCACCCCTGCCTGCGGTACTGCTGTGGTAACACAACACTGACCGGTGCCCGTTTCCACGGCAACTGTTCCCCCGAGAAACCCTTAGCATCCTCAGCAACCACAGGGCGACTCCTGAACACACGCACACACAGCATTTTAGAGCGCCGTTTCTAGTAAAAGAAGGTAGAGATTCACCTTTCTTCCCATCAGCAGGTCTAACTATAGACAGAGAGGGAGACCAGGGAATAGACAGAGCCGGAGACAGAGTGGCAAAGTGAGAGAGACGGAGGTAAAGAGAGACGGCACTGACAGCTGCAGAAAGAAATCACCAATCAGAGCAGTTCAAGCGCAGCTACTGTGAGATATTCATTAAAAATTTAGATGAGCTGGACAATGCTATACACGGCTTTAAAAGTCATCTTAACATATTAACAAGACTTTAAAAAAAAGTAAAAAGAAACTGAGGTTGGTCCTTGGTTCAGCCTCCAAGTTCATTTTGTCTGAAACAGGTTATTTTAGCTTCCTTATAGTTCTCTATGAGATTACAGAGAGCCAAGAGTGAAGGAGACGGAATACCTTTTTGTTTTTAGAAATTCTGCTAGGAAACTGCTGTGGATATTTTTTAGTGGTTGTTTAGTAGTAAAATTGGTAGTAGTACTAATTTTTTAGTAGTAGTAGTGGTAACCAATACTGATACAAATACCTTGAACTTATAAAGGCAGCTTATAAAAGGGACCGCATCATATCATGATTGATTTGATTAGCACACAAAGTTGTGGTACTTACGGGAGCTGACTGTGTCGACATACTGGGGCAGGTATGGAGCCCACATGTCAATGGTTTCTTTGCGTCCTGACTGGCCGATCCTCCTCAGTTCAGCCAAGAGAAGAGCTTGGGCTGCTTCTCGTACCTGAAACCACAAACACACTAAATCACTGTGAATTAAAAACAATATCACATGTTATTATTTACCGTATTTTCCACCCTATAAGACACACTTAAAATCCTTTAATTTTCTTAAAAATCAACAGTGCGCCTTATAATCCTGTGCACCTTGTGTATGAATTCTGGTTGACCTGACCTCAAACAGATTTTATGTGGTACACAGCGCTCAAAAATCTCTCAAAAAAATGTTTTAGTACGACTTTGGTAAGCTACGAAGCCGCACCGCTTGATGGATTGTCGGAGCATTACGGCTGCCGTAGTCAGGAGCTTTGCAAGTAATCTGGGTCCAAAACTCCGTCTTCTTCAGGTCCCAAAGTCAAACGAACACTGCAGCATCACTGAGAGTTAAAAACTGTCTAAATTCTTTCATTCTTTAATAAAATGATCAGCATTGCTGCTTTACCAGGTGTAACAATTAAGTTTAACATTCAGGCATCCATGAAAACATAATTTATTAAATTAAACGGAATTAGCAGGAAGTAGTCTCCACCTAAACATGATACAGCATGTTCTGACTGAGAGATTTCTGAAAAAAATTAAAACGTACAGCTCTGCTATTACTTCCAGCATAAATGAAGACAGAAAACTAAACAGCAGTGACGTTTGTAGGGTTACTGAACTTGGACTACCTGGTATATAATGATGTGCTACGTGATCGCTAGCGACACAGCTATGTTAGCATAGCATAAACAGTGAAGCTGGAGGCTGAACGCTAACTTTTTTCCACTTGATAAAAGTTAACATGAGGGTTCCCGATGGTTAGGGACAAATGCATTCACATGGCAGGATGCTGTAAATGGACCAAACTTCAGTCAGGAGAACAACTGAGATAATCCATCCACAACAGAGGTTAGTCATTAATTTACTGCAACAACATGAGAATAGAGCAGCTGCGTGAGAATTCAACATTAATGAATCAATGGTGCGGAAGTGGAGGAAGCAGGAAGAATGAGTTGAGTAAAGTTTGACTTATCTGACTGTTTTGTTTCGCTTAATGCGGCCGTGCACATTAATATTGATCTCTTACGGGGAAAAAAAAAAAAAAGATTCCTTCTGTCATTATATCTAAAACACTCTTAGTGAGAAAGCAGAAACAGAGTCAAACTGTAGCTTACACAATACTTTTTACCAGATCCTGATTTCTGTGTGGATGAACTGTTGCATGAATTAATATAATTAATGACATAAGAACATTTTAAAATATAGGTATGACAAACACAAATAGAGCGATTAAAAGTAAAGATTCATAGATGACCAACTCCACTCCATTGAAAGTTTAAAGTGGTCCAAATGGCACCAAACCCAGGATGTGTAGGGAGGCCTGTCAATAAAAATGGCCACACCCCTAAATTTAAGTGTTAATAAAAATCCAGTTGGATGAGTTATTAAAAAAATTCACACCCTGTAAAGTTTTTTATGAAGGGAAAACTGAACAAAATTTATGTCTGTATCAGGCTATAAACAGCTTTATGCTGTAAAGCTGGATTTTCAAACATGGGAGTCTATGCAACCAGAGATGGGCAGTAATGTGTTACTGTAATCCAATTACTTTTTTCAAGTAATGAAAAAAGTAAACAGTAATTAGATTACTGTTGCTTTCCCGTAAGCACGCTGCATTACTAAACTGTGATTTTGTTTGTGAGTGTCTCATGACAATGATGTACGAGCGTGCGGCGTCCGTAGCATCAACAGACATGTGTAGATCAACAATGGATAATATGGAGTGCGGGAGAGAGTACGACCATGCAGAGTTTAAGCTTGGAAGTACTGACATTACTTTGAGCTTTGAGTTTGAACCGTAAAAAGTGACAAAACCATTAGCGTCCGCTCTACACTCTGCGTGGGAAGAAAACTTATTTCTACGGCAAAAAATTAAACTTCAAATCTGAGCAAGCACCTAGCATGCTGCCAGTGTGAAATTCACAGAAACACCGCTGTGGCACCGGAAAAACCTGCACCGGTCCCACTCCTGCTAAACAGGTGAAAATAGATTTAAGAGCGATAGGACTTAGTGCTACTGAATCTTTGATTTTATTTATTTTTTGCTGTGTTTTACTTGCATCTATTTGAAAGGGTGAGTGTAAGCATAAAAAATATTTTATTTTATATGCTGGAATATGTTTAAATGTTAAACAAATTTCCTCAAATCAAAGACTGCTGCATATAATTTAATTTTTGATTATGCAATGTGCATAAAGTTAAAAGATTAAAACTAATAAAAAAGCCTTTAAAAGAGACTTTTTCATTTGGTTCACTTTTATACGATGGATTATGCAGAAACAATAGAATTGGGCTGAAAAGTCAATTGCTTTATTACGTATTCAGGTTGTGTATCATGTTTTTTAAAAGTAACTATGTAATAAAGTAACTAATTACTTCTGAAAATAAGTACTCAGTAAAGTAATTGGATTACTTTCTTGGAGAAGTAATCAGTAATTAGTAACTAATTACTATTTTGAAGTAACTTGACCAAAACTGATGGCGACTGACTCGCTTTTTTTTTTAGCTTGCCTCAAGTGGCGGTCAGAGGAATTGCAGGGTTTTTTTTGTTTGTTTGTGTGTTTGTTTGTTTTTTTCAATTTTGACTCAATTTTTCTTGATGGCATCATACATACCTCCAGACAGCGGTCCTGCCATCTCCTTGCCAGCATCTCCAGCAGTGGCGGTCTGAACTTGTCCAAGCCAAGTAGGTCAGGGAGCATCACGCAGTGCATGGCCGCCAGCTGGCTCCATCCTGCACAAACAATCACAACAACACACACACAGACACATTTTACACAAACAGTCAGAAAAACTACAAGAACAAGTTAAAGTCTCTCTAATGCTATTGCTGTCAAATAGAAACACTGTTTTTAATGCAGTGCCTTGAAAAGGTATCCATACCCCTTGAACTTTTCCACATTTTGTCAACCATGAACTTGAATGTATTTTATTGTGATTTTGTGTAACAGACAAACGCAAGGCATGGAATGGAGTGTATGTGTTCACAGTCGCTCTCCATCCAATCTGACTGTACTGGAGCTATTTTGCAAAGAAGAATGGGCAAATTGCACTCTAGATGTTCAAAGCTGGTGGCAACATACCTCAAAAGACTTGCAGCTGTAATTGTAGTGACAGATAGTTTGAGAAAGTATCGACTCAGGGGGGCTGAATACAAATGCACAATATGAACAGACGCCCCCGATCCAGTGTGTTGTGTTTGTGTATCACACAAAATCCCAGTAAAGTACTTTTAAGTTTGTTGTTGTAACATAACAAAATGGAAAAGTTCAAGGGGTTACTAGGTTTTTGAAAGCCTTGAAAGTAATTTATTTTTTGTTGTTGTTGTCGTTTTAAATCATGGCCAAAAAACTTCTTCTTGAGTCATCCTTGCAGAGGAAGAACATACTTAACTCACCATTTTAGTCTTTAAAAGGACATTAAAAGTATTTTTAAAAACTTGTTTCCATGTGACAGCACTGACTTCCAAAGGAAAGAAAAAAAAAATCACAGTAACAACAGTCAAACACGGGATGAGAATATTATCAACAACATTATCTGCAGTCTTGGTTAGAGCAAACTAAATTTTTCTGCTAACCAGAGTCTGTCTGATGGAGTTTAAACAGGTAAACAACAGGTATACAAAAGCCTTGTAACGATACCTTGGCATGATGAATTTAAGTGTGTGTTTTCAGCTACATGTGGGTTTTTACTTGATAACAAAAAGAAACACTGAAGGCTTTCACAATAAATGGCAGACACTAAAACGCTCCATTTCTCAGTTGTGTGACAAAAACATTCAAAATGTCTTGGTATCGCTTTATAAGGGCTCAAAACAATGGCATATATTCATATTTTTGACCATACACCAAAGATATACACATCACCTCTTAGGCATCTGTGAAGTTAACTTTTTATTTGCAGATACTCAACATAAATCAAGCACCTTATTCACATATATTGGAGTAATATATGGTTTCTGGACATGATGCATGTCTATGAAATGCACTTGTGTGATGGAGACTGAATGGCTGTTAGGCAGGAAAGAAATTTCATACAAATTTCTTTGCTGGGGGAACCGTATAAACTTACCTCCACCAATGAAATATCCAGATATTACAGAAAAAATAAAACGTTATTACAGAAATACTATGTAGAGGTTGACAGACTAAAGATTTCATCATATATGTGACAGATATATTATAATAACTATTTTGTTTATAACATAGGAAATCAAAGCAATCAGAATCAGTCAACCTCCACATGCAAATAAGAATCACTGCCTTGCAAAAACTGCAGATATTTGAATCAATTCTAGTTCCCAAAATCTAATTTTACTGATATTATACTGCAAAGGCTGCTCCTGTTATTTTTTTTGTTAGTTTGTTTGTTTTTTAAAATCAGACTGGACTTTGGCTTGAGGATTCATTTGGTTAACAAAGAAGCATAAGCTGCTCAAGGACTGTACTCACAGGCAGCTGGCAGCATCCATTTCATATATGAATCCTATTAAAAAGGTCAACAGCAACAACAAACAACCTCCAAAAACAAACTCCATTAAAGAGTTTGTTGGTTTGTTGACAACCAATGAACTTTTGGAACAAAGCTATGCTCATCAAGGTCCCCTCCTTGTCATGGACCAGTCAGAAAATCAAATGGTGCAGAACTAACTTATATTTGAAGAACAACGAGAGAAGTGCCAAAAAATTTGAATTGTTACCTGGAGGGAATGAAGAGGGACCTGTTAATGTTTACAAGAAGAGACCAGAGTAAAAATTTTGTTTTTTCCTAAAGGGTTTTTATTTCAATAACCAATTGGATATGCTGCTTTTAGTTTTATTTAGGTTGCATTAGTTGGGTTTATGGGCTTCGTGTTACCACAAGCACCTTCTAGGTGAACTGCTGCCGACAGGACAAGCTTCAGGACAAATCAGGAAAAAAAGCTGTGGAAGTCCAATGAAAGTGAAATAATGGACAAACAGAAAAGCAGCTACCAGTGAAGACTGATCTTTGTGTTATTTTAAAATGTATGCTTTTATAATTATTGTTCATGCAACTATTTTGTGTGTGTGTGTGTGTGTGTGTGTGTGTGATGTCACTTTGTTCTCTGCTAACAGTATCTACTACAACAACTACTAGTGTAGTGTTAATTTTTTTGCTATTACTGCAACTGCTAGTGGTAATACATATTATAGTACTTATAAACAGCATAAAAAGCAACAAAGGAAGAAATTAGTTTTTGCAGGGCAGAGTTTTTGACTAAACAACTATTGAAATTAAAAATATATATATATTCCTACATGTACTGAGAAAGAATGTGACACTGTGAGCATGCTTGCTGTCTCCTATTTGTTTTAGTGTACAAAAAAGTTAATTAGCTTTGAAAAGGAACTTGTATTCCCTTGAATTCACAAATAATCTTTGAAAAACAAACAAAAGAACACATTCATCATATGTGTGGGAGTGAGAGCAAGCCTCCATGGTGAAATCCAAAATCATTTTTTTTTTTTTTTTTTAGAAAAAACAACAAAAAAGGTTCATAAAAGAAGGAAAGGAAGGAGAGCAGTAGGCTCTGACACCAGAGAAACTCCAACGACAAGTCCATGTAAAAAAGAAGCCTTAAAATCAATAATGCAAAATTTTAGTTAGCTTTCAGTTCTCCGTGTTTTTTTGTAGGTTTTTAAACGCAATTTTCCGTATTGCATCTGTTTAAAAATAAATAAATAAATAAAATAAAAAATTTAAATAAAAAAACAAACAAACAAAACAGTCTGAGGTGGGTGTGCTGGTGTGCATTTTCTTTGGTCTTGCTTTCCTTTTTGATTTTTTTGTTTGTTTGGGTTTTTTTTGTTTGTTTTTTTAAATCTCCTCAGTGAAACACTCAGGTGGAAATAGCAAGCATGCAAACAGCACAGAGACACTGGAACATCAGGACATGTGGACATTCAGACAGGCAGTAGAGACAGCAGAAACGGAGCAGAACTGTATGTTACTGCCAACAGTTGGGAAAAATAGAGACAAGACTGGGGCATAAGGATTGTTTTCAGTGCACACTCTGTCAGTTCCAAATAACAGTAAAGTCAGCCTGTTTGCAGACGACACCACTCTTTATTGCACCAAATTTAGGAAAAGCATTAAATCATTTTAAAGCTGCTGACATGTTAGCAGCTTCTTGTGGAGTATTTCACATTTACAAATCATTAAATTTGTAACAGATTGGCCCAGAATTGCAATTTCAACAAAATTGCAAAGTGCAAGGCTTGGAGAAATAATCACTTGCTTGGTATGCCAGATTTTACAAATTTACTCTACCTCTTCCTACGCAAAGTTTTTTGTGACATGCAGATTAACCTAATTCCTTCAACTGACTGGGCTGAAAGTGGACTGAACAGGTAAAAAGATAGCAGCACTGTAGACAAAAACAAGGACATAGGACACTCAGGGAAAAAAACTAAACACAACAAAAATGGAGCTAGATACCAAAACTGGCTGCAGTAGAAAACAGGACTGGTGCAAGAGAAGAGAAATGAGGTGATCCAAGGCGAGGTGAGGGATTATAATCACATAAAGAGAAAAGTCAAGAGAGGAAAGAAGAAAACACTAAAAGAGGGAAGGTCAGAGAATAACTCATAAAAAAAAGAAATTAGGGGGGCAGATTCAAATAATAAAAAAGGACAGGAGGCAGTGAAAAAGATCTGGGAAGCAGAAGAAGGCTCTGAGACTTTTCCTAAGTGGCAGCCGTCAGTTCACTCAGTACCTTCGTTGACTGAGAGGATGTTATGAGAAGCAGGCCCGGGGCTGGGGTAGCCAGGAGCCCCCTGAGGGAGTCCCCCAGGGGCTCCCAGAGCCCCAGCAGAGGCGGCAGCAGCAGCACCGGTGTTGGCTGCAGGAGCTACAGCAGCTTGTAAAGGAAAAGAAGGAAAGAAATAGTCAAGAAGGAAAGAACAGTTTAGAAAGATATGAACATATTAAGTACCCAACAGAGAGAAGAGACAAGCAGTTTGACAGGAGGGAAGAAGAAATGAAGCTACAATAAAAGAACAGCAGAAAAAAGAGAACAGCAAGAGGTTAGAAAATAATGTTTCCTTTTCAAAATAAATTAATTTCTTCTGCTTGAAAATATGCAAATAAAAGTAAAATCAAAGTAGTTCATCTTATTTGGTAAACAAAAGAAAAATGTGAAAATGGCCTTGATAACCAAAGGATTGGAAATAATGGACCAAAGGCTAACATTAGTGTTTAGCTATGTCAAATTTCCCCACAGGATAAAACATGGACGTAGTGAGCCAAGTCATAATATTAAGCCTTGTTTTGAAATGGGATGCCTAATTTTTCCAAATAAACTCACCCAGATACTAACAGCAGTGTAACTAAATGCTCTGAGTTCTCATTCTTTTCAAAATAAAAGCCTTCAACTATTTACTGGATGTACTCAAGCTGTTTAAAACAATAAACAAACACATACAACAAAGTGACATAAGTAACTGCAAGATAAAGTTAATTCAAACCAACAAAAATAAATGAAAAAATAAAGTCAAAGCAGATTATAAAAAAATTACAAATATAAATTGTTAAACAAGACTGAAAACTCACATAACTGTCAAAATGAAAACAAGAGAAATGAAGATGGACACTGTATTTCCCACCAAGAATTCAGTGAAAGCAATAAAACACCACCGAAGCAACCTACAGCTAAAAGAAAGTTTTCAGACTATAGTACCATTTTTTAACCCTTTTCAATCTGGAACAATTGAAAAAACCCAAACAAGCCCCAGTTACTTCAAGTCCACAGGTAAAAATGTTATGCACCCAGTGTAATTTTAATAATTTCATGAACCAGAACTACAAACCTGAAACCTTTAAGGCACATTAGTAAAAGTTAAACCTCATTGATATACAGCATTTTAAAAAACATTTCTTTAGTCCTTAGATACACAGAAAATTGTTCTTGATAACAAAGTTCATCTAGTACAGAGGAAACATGAAGCACAGAGACAACAAAGGAAACGGAGAAACATTACTTCAGTAGAAAAGTAGAAAGAAAAAAAATGGTTAAAGAAAGAAACCCTGTAATACAAAAGAGAGATTGAATGGAAGTAAGTGAAAGACATCCTGAAGGGAGTGGTGTTTGTGCAGAGAACAGGCAGCAGGCTGAAGCCATGCAGTGAGCAATGAAAAGAGAGAGGAAGAGACAGAAGAGGAGAATGGGGAGAAAAAAAAGACTGAAACAGTAAATGATCAGTTTGAGGTAATTCGACAGCAGTTTGCCAGTACATGAGGAGCATTAAATGTTTATTTGTCCATCTTAAACCAGTTTTAGCTGGCAGGTTATCTGCTGAGCATTGTAGCATGATTTAAATGTTGGTTTAATAAAATACTAATTTATATAGATGATATAGAGCTATTTATGTCTAACCTGAATATTTCTAAAGCATATATTTAAGTGAAAATATTTACTTTACGAGAAGAAGAAAGAAGAAGGAGAGCATAAGATGAAGAGTAAGG